TGGTTTCATCTGGCCAGAGGAGAACTGGCCCCCCGACTGAGCCTGTTTTCTCCCAAGGTTTTTTCTCCATTCTGTCACCGATGGAGTTTTGGTTCCTTGCCGCTGTCGCCACTGGCTTGCTTAGTTGGGAACACTTCATTTCCAGCAATATCATTGACTTGATTGCACAGATACTATTTAAACTGAACTGAGCTGGATGATGACATCACTGAATTCAATGATGAACTGCCTTTAACTGAAAAATGAGTGTTTACTATTGTCACTTTGCATTATTGACACACTATTTTCCTAATTAATGCTGTACAGTTGCTTTGACACAATCTGTATTGTTAAAAGCGCTACATAAATAAAGGTGACTTGACTTGACTTGACTTGACAGAGTATTTCTTAAATATAACTGAAAAAATTGTGTCTGGTTGGTCCAGACGCTACAAATATCCCCTCTTTCGAACATTGTTGTCCGTCGAATAGACAACAGCGAGCGACGTCAAAGGTGCAGAACAATCAGGCATCCACCTGCCACTCATGGCTGGGAGACAGTGGTGACTCTCTGGCTGTTGTTGCCTCCAGGAGTGGTTGTGGTGCCGTGGTGGATGCTGTCAAGTGGGGTGCTGTGGTGATGTTAGCTGTAGCAAGGTGCGGGTCCTCGAGCTTGAGCAGGTGTCGAGGCAGTGTCACCTGTCGTCCTGAAGTGAGTTGGTCTGAGTCAGATGGTTGTTTGTAGGTGTTGTTTGCCAGTAGGCTATCCGTGGTACCCGCGGTGTGGAACAGCCGGGTTGGACTCTCACTGGTGAGAGTGCAGGTGGTTCCTGTGGTTGCAGGGAATTGTTATGGAGATTTTGTAGTGTGAAGAGAGTTTCAACACTGACCAATGATGGTGCCAGGAGGGCAGCAGGTGGTTGTTAGCCCTCTGTGTAGCTCGAACGTCACTAGAAATCTGTTTGCGGTGTCGCTTTGCTCTTGTAGCGGCACCGACTTGAGCTTGCCTGAGTTGTGTTGGTAGAGGTTTCGCTGTTTGGCATGTGGGCCCGTTGATCCATCCAACGTTGTCTGGCTGCTTCTGGGGTGTCGACTGGTTTTAACGGATGCTCCTCCCTTGGAGGGGTCTGATGCTGTGTTGCGTAAGGCAAGGAGTCAGAAGTTTGTCCTTTCCAGTACTCCTCAGTTGAGTTTTGTTCAAGGAGCTCTTTTGCTAGTGTCAGCAGCTCCTGTAACTCAGAAGTAGCACACGGTCCATCTGTCCGTGTGCAGCATCCGTTTGGCACCTGTGTGAAGGGTGTGGAGGAGGATGTTGTGGTGACTGCTGTTGGACATACCGTGGTGTTCGCAGGATGAGGATGGCCTTTTCCATGGATTCTTCCTGTGGTTGGTCTGGAACCTGGGTCTGTTGCCATGGTGACGACTCTGTCCTCCACTGGCTAGTGGCTTTCTGTAGAAGGGCCTTGCATTGTGGCAATGCTGGGTGCCTTCTGGTGCCTGCTTTGGATTCTGGGATGTGCAGTTCAAAATCAGTGGGGTCTTACAAATACCTTTGGTGGAGGTCTTGTGCTTGTTAAAGGCCTTCTGTGTCAGGTCACGCAGTTGTTGAATAGGCATTGTGCGGCAGGCCATAATGCCTAAATGGTGACTTACAATAGGATGGAGGTTTCGGAGGAAAAGGCTCTTGAAGCCGGTGTCCTCCTCCATCCCAGGGTAATTGCGAGCTCCGAAGTAAGCTCGTTGAAGTCTGTGGTAGTAAGCATGGGGAATTTCATGCCGGCCCTGTTTGGTGTCTAGGGCAGCGATCAGTCTGTGTTCAGACTCTGGGTCTGAGAATTCCTTTATGATGGTTTGTTTAAGCTACTGGTGAGGCCACTCTCAGGATCAGCTCCTTTAATGTCCTCAGGATCTCTGTTGCTGAGCAAGGACTTGGATTTCAGCTCGGGCTGCTTGCAGGTGGCATTCACAGGCGTTGTTTCGGTTCGCCTGAAGCTGACTTGTGAAGGGTCAAGCAGAATGCTTTGGCTCCCCCCTTTGTATCTCTGTACAGGGGTGAGGGTGTTTGCACTGCTGGCTGTGTGACATGCAGCAGGTTGTCTTTTACTTGAGTCCATGTGCAGTCGGTATGACTGTTTCAATTCTTTCTGAACCATGTCAAGCTCCTCTTTAATGTTGCAGAATTGCTTCAGCTCTGGCTGCATGCAGATGGCCTTCTAAGGCCTTATCTCTAGTGTCTCTCTCATTTTGTTTTTAACAGCGACTTTTTGTGGAACAGTTCTCTTTCCAAGTCTTGTCTGGTGGCTTTTCCAAGCTGCTCTCGGTGTCCAGCAGATGTTAGAGCCTCCTGAAGACTGGTGATTTGTAATTTACCTCCTGTCTGAGGCCTTTGAGGGTGTGGGCCAAGGAGCAGATGATGCTGGTCAGCTCTTGGTTGTCCAGGCTTGGTGGCAGGTGTCCACTTGTGTCGCAGTCTCGCTGTTCCTTTCTCTGCCGTTGCAGGTCATTGGCTGCTTTGGGCTGAAGGATGTCCATCACAGTGCTCTGCTGGGTTTCCAGGTGGTCCTAGTGAGCTGGCAGGGCTGGATGTCTGTGGAATGTCTGCGACATACTGGCACACTTGTGGGAACACCAGAGAGAGAGAGGCAGAAGGCAAATGCAAGTACGTACAGAGGTGTTAAGCTATCTGTATGGGGAACGGCTGTGTAGGCTGTGTAATGTGTGAATAGCTGGTCAGGGGCAGCTAGTGAGGTAGGGTGCTATGTTTTTGTGTTCATGAACACAAAGAGATAGTTTGAGTAACTTTGTTGACAAAGCAGGGGTCAGCTAAGGACCGGGCTATACATGTGGTCAAACTATTACTCAAAGCACTGATGGTTCACAGGTTTGGTCACTATGAAGGTATCAGATCAAACAAAACTGAAATAAAAACAGAAAGAGACAGAGAGAGAATGAAGGGCTTGCCTTATTTAGTTTAAGCTAGGAGATACAACTAGGCAGTTGTCACTTGTTAAAAGGAATGCTGCAGCAAGGTCATAAACTTAGGACACTAGGAAGTGTTTCTAGTCTTCTCGGGCCTGTAGCATAATGCATGGTAACTGTACCTTATGTAATAGGCCTGGTGCTGAGGAGTAAGGAGGGGTATAGCAGAGACAGGAATTAAGGCTACTAATAACCTGTACGGCTCATTAAGGATACAACAGTTGCTAGAACTGCTATAATCCTATACCTTGAGGGAAGATGGTGATGGTCAAACAAACTAAAATAAGGTCAAAGTAAAACGAAAAGGTCCTAATAGCTGTAGGAAACTAAATGGAAAAATAAATAAATTGATTTAATTAAAGCTCAGATTTAATTAAAGCTCAGATTTAATTAAAATCAACTTAGCTGAATTAGTACATTCAAGCTAAACAAAGGTAAATTAATTAAATAAAATCAAAGAGAAGAATAAAGTCAAAATAAAAATAACACAAATAAAACCAAAGTATTTGAGGAGGGGCCAACCTAACTGAGCCTAAACAGAAGGTGATAGCACAAACAGGAAGTGAAACCAAGAGTGAGGGGGGGGGGAGAGACAGGAGGAGTGGTTCAAACTTTACACTCACACCTATCTAAGTGTTAGTCAGATGCTAACAGCTAGCAGTTGAGGTAAAGGGCTTAGCTTAGCCTGTATGGCTGCTAAAGAGTTAGCGCTGGCTACACGCAGTTCTTTGTTTACACAAAGGTCTGTGACGTGTGTGATGTTATCAGATTGAACCGGAAGAGCCTGCATATGTCTATGATCTATAATCAGACTCAAACTCATCTCGGTTCAACGATTAATAAATATTTAGTTCTTGTTGTTGTGGTTGACAGTCTTTAGCATTAGCAGCATGCCAGAGGATGCCAGCTGCATGGATGTTGGCTCCTCCACCTCATTCATTTATTAACACTATTCACACATGGATAGCCATAGACAAATGGCTATGCGATGGCGCCGCAGACGGCAGCCTCAGTGTTTGGCTCTCCAGTGTTTGTACTGTTTTTGTTAGTTTTTCCTGTTTTTTTGTTTCTCAAACAAGATCAGTTTTACCAGGGATGAACTGCTGAACATTTGGCAGAACACACCACAGAATCTTCTACCGGATTTCGATTATTCGGACGTTTTGCTGAATGTTGTAGTTGGCGGAGCAGCGGCGCTGATCAAGCGCTTCAGGACGCGCAGACGGGGTAAGACAGTCTTCATGTGCTCGTGAAGCTCAGGAAGCGCGGATTCAGAACCGCGCTGCCTAGCATCCATCTGGCGAATCTCCGCTCTCTACCCAACAAAACGGACGAACTTCTTCTGCTCTCCCGGACAAATAAGGATTTTTCACACTCTGCTGCTCTGTGTTTCACGGAAACCTGGCTGAATGACACCATTCCAGACAACTGCCCGGCTTTCAGCTGTTTAGAGAAGACCGCGACGCAGAATCAACGGGCAAATTGCGCGGCGGCGGGACATGTTTTTACATCAACGAAAGGTGGTGTACAGATGTTACAGCGTTAAAGAAGATGTGCTGTTCCGATCTAGAAGTGCTTTTCATTAACTGTAAGCCGTTCTATTCGCCGCGGGAGTTTTGCTCGTTCATTCTCGTAAGTGTGTACATTCCTCCGCAAGCACACCAGCTCTCTGTCCCTAGCTCTATCTATGGATCACCAGCTTTCTGGCAGCTAGGCAACAGCTAGTGAGAATTGGTAAATTCATATCCAACAGCCGCACCACCAGCACTGGCACCCCTCAGGGTTGCGTCCTCTCCCCACTGCTCTTCTCCCTCTACACCAACGACTGCACCTCTAAAGACCCCTCTGCAAAACAGTGGAGATGATCGTGGACTTCAGGAGGAACCCCCCTGCACTCCCCCCACTCACCTTCATGGACAGCACTGTGGCTGCAGTGGAGTCATTCAAATTCCTGGGCACCACCATCTCTCAGGACCTGAAGTGGGACACTCACATTGACTCCACTGTTAAAAAGGCCCAGCAGAGGTTGTACTTCCTTCGCCATCTTTCAACCTGCCACAGGAGCTGCTGAAGCAGTTCTACTCAGCCGTCATCGAGTCTGTTCTGTGCACTTCAATAACTGTCTGGCAGACAGTTACAGATCTCTGTGCACTAGAACATCTAGGCATAAAAGTTTTTCCCCCCATGCCATCTCCAGCTTAAACCGCTAAAGCCTAGTTCACACTACATGATTTAAAACGTGGGCAGATCGCTGTGCTGTTCAGACTACATGACTTGCTGTCTGTCTTGGAAGTCGTTGTGGTGTTCACATTACGCGACACTACATAAATGATCCGCAACAGGGCTCCACACAATACACGAGCTGACAACAACTCTGTCACCCAATGACTCTACACGGTCCCCAAACCAAGTTTTGTCATGAAAACACACGTGAGAAGTGGAACTGGAATGACGCAAAACAACAAGTGAAACAGGATTTGTTTATTTGAAAATGGACGTAGAAAAGAAATTAGTGCTGCAAGCTGTTTGCGTGATGATCTGTTTTTAAAAATTTGCTCCATTTCTTGTGTCCAAACTTTTCTTAAAGCCGTGTTGCTGCTTCTGTTTTGCTTCCGCTGATCTCAACCCATGCCTTGCTCTCAGAGCCATTCTATCTATAACACACCTGTACATACAATTTATTCTTTTTTTGTGGTTTATATGTATGCATGTGTATTTTATTCACATCTTATTTTTATTATCTGTGTGTTGTTGTTGTTGTCTCCTACTGGAAGCTTGTGACACTATAACAAATTCCTTGTATGTGCAAACATACTTGGCAATAAAGCTCTTTCTGATTCTGATTCTGATTCTGATTCACTACAAAACCCTTAATGTCAATCAAATACTAGCTGATAAGAGGTTGCTCTTTTATAGCTTAGAAGATTTCATGGATCTCATGCATATCTTTTGTTGTTGGTGTTTCATTCAAGTACAGTATCAACAATGTTTTGGACAAAGTTTTTGTCAAATTCCCTCTCAAATGTTCCAACTTTGTTATCTAAAAGAGTCTGCTAGGCACAGTTTGAGACACTGTTGGAAACTCGTTTGAAACGTGACAGGAGGCACATTTGGAGGATTTATTTATTTATTGCTTTTGTTTATTTTTTGTTGGGCACAGATGCTTTATCTGTTCTATTCTGTGGACTAAAAGATCCAGTTAGATAGAATGTACATCCTGACCTCTGTGAGAATAAACAGCATCACTCTGTCTGTCTTACACTGAATAATAAATGATATTCTGTTAATGTGTGTGAGGTGCCATAAACCCTTGAAGTTATGTTAAGGGATAACCTCACTTTGCTCCATGTCATATTGTAGTTATCAGTTCCTTGTGATCAAAGTAAGCATGATTGATTAGTTCTTTCTTAAAGGGGTCATATGATGCTGCTAAAAAGAACATTATTTTGTGTATTTGGTGTAATGAAATGTGTTTATGCGGTTTAAAGTTCAAAAAACACATTATTTT